AAAAAGAAGCTGGACAATTCTCTGATCCGAGAGAGCCTGGCCGTTTGCGCGCGATGTGATTTTATGATGGCCGTAGAAACTATCGTCGGAAGCAAACGGTATCCGCTCGTCCGCTTGCTGGCTGGATGCATCCGCGCAACCATCACGGGGACAATCAAGAGCAACCCCGTTACTCGGCTCGTCGCGTGGCGCTACTCCTTGCGCCTTTACCTTTGCGAGTGACAACGAACTGCTGGAAACGCTCAAGATCGTTTCGCAGAATCGACCGTCTTCAACTGTAACTACGGCACGTTCAACTGCTCTTTCGAAATTATCTAATCAACTAAAAATGCGCTACAATTACGATGTATCGCCGAGACTGACTGTTTCTATAATAAGTCAGAATAACGTGCATTTAGCGGACGCAATAATAACGGAAAGTTTTTTGTTTATCTTTTCCAATTTTAACTGAATGTGTACATACAGGGTGTCCCGTAAATTTTTGCCAAGCGCTTTTGTGTAAATAGAGCAGACTAAACCGAGTCGAAAAGTCCTCTACCATTTTGCAACTTTCACAATAGTTAACAAGATATTAATTACTAAAAATTGTCGAATATTGGTCTTCAATAATTTTTTACTCAAATACTATCAACATTACAGAAAAACTGCACGAGACAAAAATCATTTATTTTTTTCTCATAGAACTCTAAGAATTTTTTCAGAATTTTTTATCAAATTTTTAATACTGCATTTTCTTATTTTTACCATGACAACATAAGAAAGTACGGTATTAAAAAATTCTGAAAAAATTCTCAGAACTTTATGAGAAGAAAATAAACAATTTTTGTCTCTCGCTGTTTTTTTGTAAAGTTGATAGTATTTGAGAAAAAATTATTGAAAACCAATATTCAGCGATTTTTAGTAATTAATATTTCGTTAATCATTGCGAAAATTGCAAAATGGTAGAGGACTTTTCGACTCAGTTTAATTCGCTCTATCTACACAAAAGCGCTTGGCAAAAACTTACAGGGCACCCTGTATATAATACTATATAAGTGCTAAAGAATTCTGAAATTCTTTATTTTTCTCGATATAGCTCATAATTTTGATTTAACAAAATATGAAAAGATTGATAAACTGTTTGGAATGCAGTTCACTGGTTAAATTTTATATCATCTCTCTCTCTCTCTCTCTCTTCCCTTCACAGATAAATTTAATGATCAGTTATATCATTATATCGAAAAAGATAAATCGGGGAAAGTAAATTCAGTTCAATTTTGCTATTAAACTTTCTATGTCACGGTAACTAACTCTTCGTGAAGAACATGAATTATTCATTGATATATACAAAAAATGATTTAAAAGCTAAAATGCGAACTGCTGGCACAGGAGAGCTTACGGATTTTTTATTTTTCTCTTTCACCAAATTGATTCGTTAAATGAAAGATGACACGGATCATAATTGTAAAATTAGAATTTAGCTGAACAATTATAATGAAAGGAGAGGATTTAATGTAGATCGATTGTAATCGACGATTGACGTCACATCATAAAAGCATTGTTAAGTTATTCAATAAATCACAAAATTTGTAATGGCGAATTTTTGAGAAGAGAGAATCACGCTTAAAATGATTTGATAACAGCACGCCATTATCATATTGATTATTCGATACGTTTAGCATCGAGATGCATCGAGTATTAATTACGGTCGATATAAACGGTTTATTTTGGAAATACTATAATTCTATACTCTCGTAAATCCTCACCAGATAAATACAATAATTATACCACCTCATATTGTATCCTTAGCTCATTAAAATTTGTAATTACAACCACTTGCAAAGTAAGTAGCTCGTACAATATTAATTAAATATGATAAAAATTACACACATACTATTAATTAATAACTTAGTTAAATTAATGGATGTAAAATAGAGAAGTACGCACGATTATATGTGTACGTATGTGTATACATATGAATGAAACTCTTAGTTGATCCGTAATTTCAAGAGAGCAAGGCGGAAGTTTTTATGGGTGCGCCGTAATTACATACACTAGTAATCAGTTCACAGTTAAGTCAAAGTTCTTCAGTACGTGTTCGAAAGAATCATGCCGCTCATTAGAGACGTATGTTAAATGGTCACGCACGAATAAATCTAAATGTTATTTTCTTCCGTCGCGTTTATTTTCGCGGAAACACCACCTTTCTTGCCCGACACGAGAGATAAGACATAAAAATCACCTTCTATTTATTTTACATGAGTGATAAACTAGCGCATGTGTTTCCTCCTGATAAAAATATCATTAACTTGAGTTATGATCATATTATAGATCATAGCTCCTTGCTAATAGTTTATATTTCACGTTGCTGTAATTTGTACAATTTAGATTCGCGATAACGTAACGTTATATCGCGCGCTAGGTCTCTTTCAAAGCTATACCAGATCTCCATGGCGCTATAATCCATCAGTTTACTAATAAATCGATTACGCTATATCCACGTGGGGGCTACTCGCCTTTGTTCAGAAATCAGCGGGGCGGTAAATGCACCGAAAGCGCTGCATGTTCGAATAAACGGTATGATGCGATGCTAACGATATTATCATGCTGGACAATATCAAAACCGATATGCAGCTCGTTTCGACAGTGTTTATTGGTAACCATCCAACTCCAATAAGAATAATTAAACCTAGACCAGCTATTTATCTAATAGTCTGACGTTTCGATTTATATTTTTGTCGACCAAAAAATAACGATGTGTAGCCATACATTATTAAATTCATAATTTATATCTATAATTTGAGTTATTTTTAATCATTTCCATAGGTCTCTCGCTGCTACTGCTACTCAATATGTCGTTAATTTGATTAAAACAATGGGAGTTAAATAATTTAATTCAAAAGAAAATGTATTAAATTTGATTCACTTTTAGTTTATTATTTACTAAGTGCATATATTAACATGGACGTTATTTATTTTGAAACAAATTAGAAATAGATTGATTTACATTTTGACACACATGAAAGTTAAAAATAACAAAATGTTATTAAGTTAATCAATATTAGATTTCTAGGGCAATAAAATGCAGCACATGTTTGTCGTTCAATTTTTTCCTTTTTATACATTAATGCTAATTTTTTTTACGTTAAGACAAAGAATAATATAGTTACAATTACACTGTCAACCCAATTGCATCAAAGGAGCAATGGTAGTCTCTTGAGTTAAAAATAGCAAAATATATAGCGTTAATGTAAAAAAAAATCGAAGCTAGTTCGGAAAAAAAAATTGAGCGAAAAACATGTGCTGCACTTTATTGCCCTCGAAATTTAATACTGGCGAATTTAATAATACTTGCCTCCGAAATTTAATACTAGCCAATTTAATATTTGCCAATTTATTACTGAAAGACAGTAATTAATTACATAAATATGATAGAGAACGCCAATAATCGGTCAAAGTTAAATGTTATGAATACAATATATATTCTTAATTTAAATTTAATTATCTCAGTGTGACTGTGCGCTATTCGGACATTAACCACAATCGATCTGAGACGCTGATAATATAAATATAAGGCACTGAAATATTCAGACATTCCTATATATAAAATAATCCCTCCTAAATTAATTCGGTAAAGAACTTATTGCGAAAAATATTACCTCAGCCAGGATGTACAGTAATTAATTACTTCTTTGGAGTATTAAAAGCATTTAATAACAGTGTTTTTAATATATGAAAATAATTATACTATTGTTCAGTATTATAACTCTCAATTGCAATAACGGATTATTTGAACTCAAAACAAACAATTTTAAATTGTATAATCTGTACGATTGATACTATGAGCTTTTTAATTGCAAAAAAGAAAACTTTGAACCTTTCTCTATCAATCGCCGTAAAGTTCACTTGCGAAGGTTCACTTGCATTCTGTATTCCAAACAGTACGTTTCAGAAGTTAGTTGTAGTTTTCGTAGCTGATTAAATTGGCCAGTATTAGATTTCTACAAGGGGTATATGTGATAACGTCGTTTAGCTATCGTGATGTGAGCTACCTCAGTGAGATAACATTAAATGATTTATCTAATTGCACATTCCTGTAATTTACCTAGTTCTAATGTTTAACTGTTAGTCGAGAGTTCAGGCATGTCGAATGTCAATTTACGCGGAAATGCCAAGTTCCCCTTGTTATCACAAGTGTGAATCTACGT